TGGAAAAGGAAATTCTTTCAGTCCTCTTCTCATCCCTGGTTCAAGGCACCTACTCCCTGATGTTTCACTTAGCTGGCATGCATTCATTTGACCATTTAGTTAACAAAATTAAGCCAGATCAAAAAAAGGGAGATTAAAGAAAGAGAACAGAATAGGGGAGAGAAAGATGATAAAACAGAGAAGCCCTGACAGAACTTTCAAAACTGTCATTCCTGGAGCAGCAACAGCAAAGCACAGTGGGGCTCTTCAAGCCATTCACAATGTTTCAGGCATTTCACTCTGCCCAAGAAATATAAACAGTTGCAGCATAATCCTCCCATCCATGCTCTGTCAAAAGGTTYTGTTAAAGCAAAACTTGTTTAAAAAAAAAAAAAAAAAAAAGCTATAACTTCAGCTTTGATAAAGAATCAAAGCATTATATAAGTATATGAAATCAGACTTACTTTTAGCTGCTAAGAATCTTAGTTCAAATTTTTACCTATACGCTTTGCCAAGAAAAAAATAGGATCTGAAAGCATGCAGTACACAAGATCTGCCAAAGGTACAGTTTTCTGGGGAAAGATTAATTTTAACRGCTTATTCACCTCTGTTACTTTCTCCAGGCTCTGCTGTAGATCCAGCAATTCTTTATCATGTTGYTCTTTAATTTTATCCATCTCCACGTCATGGCTAGACACTTCTTCCTTCAGTGCTCCTTTTAAAGCTGTAAGCTCACGCTCCCTCTTTCTCAGTATCTCTTCTTGTTGATCCTTCGCCACTAATACTTCTTGTAGATCCTGCTTCATCTGCATAAGCTCCTAAGAAAAAAAAAGGAAAAAAAAGAACCAAACACAGCTAGCATCAGTGACTCCAGTAAATGGGCTCTACAAGACATAATCTATTCCTTTAAAACTCTAAGTAAGTTGCAGTATGCCAAAAGTATTACTCTTAACAAATAAATATTTTCCATTTTCATATCAATTATCTTTTAGGTTCATGAAAAATAKTAAATTCTCAGGCACTACTGAGAGAACACTCATGATCGTGGCGTTAACATAATGTTCATGTAACACGCAGTTCTTGAATTATACAGTTAAACAGTATAGCTACTGTGCAACTCAAGACRTGTTGAGAATAATCCCCAAAGGAGGGGAGAAATGATCATTTCATTTGTGTTGCAGAGGAGATAAACGTTCCAATACAAGCTGGCCCGCAAGGATAGCTTTGTTTCTTATATGACTGACACATCATTTGCAGCTTTTATAGAAAGCCAGGCATTTACTGAATGTAAAATGGCACTGATGTATCAATATGCACTAATCTAATAAACTGTTCTCTATTTCATCATCAGTAAAAAGGGCAACAGCAGACTTCTGTTGCAGCCTGACATGACAGAAACGCTCTTCAGTTTGTCTTCAGATGCTGTCCTTTCTCCCTCTCTGCTCTCATCAATAAACAGTTAATGTAGACAGTGCTTTGATGAGTTCTTTGAATTTTTTCAGTGCAACCTCATCTGGTGTTAATATGTACACCTTTATCTTTCGTAAATGTTCTTGAACATGGCTTTCCCTTTTCTGTCCACAATCCATTTTGTGAAAACAAACAACAGGAAGTAGATAATTCAACTCTGCCTCATCCATACATTATTTATTCTCTGCTCCTTTAAATAATAGGACTTGTACATTGTATTCCTTTTAGTGCTAATTTCCTTACTTTCATGCCCTCTTATGTAACTTACTAGTGTTAAATTACTTGGATGAAACGGGAAAAGCTAAAGCATGCCTGTCTTCTCTACCTCAATTCTCACATTTTTCAAAAAAAAAAAAAAAATCTTCTGATTTTTTTAGTGTTTTCTTTCCCCACTAACCTCAATCAGAACTTCCTTCTCCCCTTCATCAGTATGTTTTGCATTGTCCAGTTCATCATGCATCTCAGACAGTTGGTCTTGAAGATCTCTGATCTCAGTTTGGTATTGTTCCCGCTCCATCTTCACTTGAAAAAGCCTAATCATGGAGAAGAAAAAAAAGTTTTTAATTGTAGAAATGCTGATTCTTCCAAATACTAAACAGATCTGAATACCTATTCTCAGGCTTACCACCAGGTAAGAGGATAGAAAGAAGCAAAGCAATAATATGTCAAGGAGGGTAAAAATAAAAACTCTTTTTAATAGACATTTAAGTGTTTTTTTCCCCCCGAATTAGCATACAGATCATAGTCTTGTCTACAGTATTCAAGCATTTCTGTAAGACTGAACCACACCTTATGACTATTAAAAACAATTACAACACTAAAAACATTCACATTATAAATGTGAATACATTTGCAAAAAGACTATAATTCCAAAAACCTGTTTTACTGCAACATATTCTAAAAATAATCAATAATAATCAATCAATAATCAATAGCTGAAGCATTTCCTAAAATAATAATCTATTACTATTTCATTTCATAAACTATTTCATTCATCTAATCATTTTAAGAAGAGGGAAAAAAATTAAATGAATAAGCTTCCTAAAGCAAACTCACTCCTCCAGGTTTTCTCTAAGTTCCTTCTCACTTTCCTCCAGACGCTTTTTTAAGGCATCGTTTTCACATGTACTTTGATCAAGTTGCAACTGAAGCTCTTTCAGGGTTGCTCGTGTAGCATCTCTCTCTTCTTTGGCATTTTGCTGATTCTAAATTGCGTACAMCGAACAGTTAAGCAAGATAATAAACTGAACATTAAGAAATTAAAGGTTTGTTTATTGCAATATAAAGAGAGCCAAATTGAAGCATATTTGAACTATCTAAAACCTTTCTAACAAGGAAAAACAGTACCTTAATTTCCAGGTCCATTTTTTTCTGCAACTCTTCCACTTTCCTTTCAAGTTCTGTTTTTTGTTCCAACAAAGCTTTCACCTCAGCTGAAGAATCAGAAACCTGCAATCAGAGAGAGATTCTTATTGCAACAAATTTACGATTTTTTTTGACCATTTCCTTTTAAAACCTAAAATAAAACCACAAGCAAGGCTTATTAAGCATCACATCAACTGCCTGAGCTCACCTGGAACTTTTCATATGGGTCAAGTCAAGTTAATATTTTCAAAGAAACTGTGATTTGATTTCCATGTAACTTTTTATTAATTGTTCAATCATGATGCCCATAGTAGAGAAAATACTGTAAACCTAAAATAAATTAAACCTAAGCAACATCTGAATTAAAACATTAATATCTGAGGCCAAATTTCACTTTATTATATCACTGATAACACCCAGCAAAGGAAAACATGTGCCTCTGTCTCTATCTGAAGACACACATTAAACTTCTCGGAGTTTTGTGGGGGGTTTTTTTGTAATTTTTCCACCTGTTTTATATTTTATTTTCATTCCTTATAGACAAATATAAAAAGCAAGTATTTAGTTCTTTTTATGCTAACACTGCAAAACATACAAACCTCTACACTTTTTTTCTGTGCTTAAAAACAAACAAAACAAAAAACAGTCCATCACTTCACAGGAATCAGCCTAGATCGTCAAATGAGGTCAAATTTTGGAGAAATTTTAGTGACAGGATTCAAACTTAAGTAAACTGCATTTAAGCACATCTTCTAATAAATGTGCAAAATATTCTTCAAGTTTATTTATGTATCTTYGCAAACCGCGCACCTCAAAGATATCTTAAGTAAATTACTAGATTTAGAAAATGTAAAGATCAGTGACTGAACACTGCACCACTATAAGACAAGCTAAAGCAATTATGCACCTGTGCATTTCCAGCAGCCCTTGACTTTAAAGTCTGAATTTTCTCAAAAACCAAGTTGACTTTCCTCTTCGTAGCATCATCATTATCAGCACTTCTGAAACACAAATATCATGTAAGTGAGCACTGAAACTTCAAGGATGCACAGAAATTTAAGTGTAGCAGATGCACTTTAGTTCGTTTGCCCTTCCTTCCTCATCTTTAAAGAGGTTACCATCAGAAAACACAAAGGTTTAAAAAACAAATGGAGAAAGAACAGGTGGATGAGTGCTGTGCATTCAATGCACAACAAAAGAACTTTTGTCAACTTAAGAAATATAAGCACTTAAAACAGAAAGGCTTACTTTATGATTTTTCACCATTACATTCACATGAGATATGAACCAAACTCTTCATAAATCTACTTATGAATAGTAACCTATTCACAAGCTTCCTGAACTTATAATAGAAGTTTGTCTCCAGAAGTATTTAAAAGAAAGAGAAAAAAGAAACCCATATATTCTGATTTCCAGGTACATTTAATCAAATCCTGAATAATACCTCATGTAAATCCTGACTGCAAGGATATGTCAAGATCCTTTACTACCTTAAAGGACAATGGTGAGACACACCAGTTATGTAGTATTCATTAACAATTCATTTAGTTACAGTTTTGATTTTACAGTTTCAAATTTTAAATATAGTTGAAAATAAATGTTTAGAAGATAGAATTTCACCTTAAGGAGTTTGTTATGTTTACTCACCCTTCTTTAAGGTAATTATAAAGGATTTGCTTAGCTGTCTCTTCATTTGTTTGCTGTGCAAGACCTTGCTGACCTTTCAAGAGATCAGGAGTTGCCTAAAAGATAAATATTAAAAAAGGTATGAGGCTTTGCAAACACAATTTTTACAATCAAAATTCTCTGTTCAGCTCTATGAAGAAACATACTTACTGCAGTCCTCCTTGTCCCCACCATATTCATTCACTCAAACAAGAATGAGACCGTTTTTGAAAATATGTTTTCTACAGCCTCATCCAGGGGATTACTTTTTGTTTTATTATCTTCCAGAATAATCTTGCTATCCCATTCAGAAATATTACATGATGGGAGTTTGCTTTAATGAAGAACAGAAAAATACGTATCTAACAACATGACAACCTTGGTATACCACAGCACGAAATGCAACTGAAAGAGTATATTCAAAATTACCTGTATACTGGGGATGGATGAATATGTTTTTACAGAAATCTTCTTGGTTCCTGTATCTGGTGGAAGTGTAAATCGGTTTGGCAATAACAAAGTAGAAGTTACTGTTTTAACTTCCTCACTCTTACTCTGTCCTGGGAGTGTAGATGATCTAAACATGAAGCTCTCCGTGTAAGTTCTATCCTGTTTGTGATACTGCAGAGAATTGAAATGGCCGTTCTGAATGTCTTTATCAGGCGTCTGCAGCGTTCCAGCACTTCGAGCCAAACCTTTCATCTCCGCGGAAGTCAGCTTCTGATCTCTAGGTAACTGCTTATGAAGGCAAACTTCAGATGGTCTTAGCAAGTGCTCAGTTGACTTACCCAAACTTTTACTGAATTCATGCAAATAACCTGAATTTACCTCACGACTTAACGACAAGGCACTGTCAACACTTCTTGATCTTTTACGATCATCTGGGTGAATCTTACTCCTTTTTCCCATCCTACCTCTTCTCTGAGGACCAACTTTCTTATCAAACTTTTCAATTAGCTCATCAACTCCTGGAATTGAACCAGTGTCAATATCACGGCCAGTTCCAGGCAAAAATGGAATATACCTTCTGTTTTCATGTCGATTAACATTGTCTGCATAGATAGCATACTCTTGGTCATCAAGCAAAAATCTGTACAAGGAATTTGCAGAAGTGGGAGTAGCTGAAGAGGATGATGATCTTCGTGAGTCATCCAACACTGGCCCAGATGAATCTTGTCTGCGGAAAGGAAGAACATCTGGTCTAGGTTTCCTTGTTTCCATATGAGCAACGGGACTTACACACGAGGATCCTCCAGCAGATGAAAACGAACCTGAAACATGCACCTCATCGGAAGTGATCACGTTACTGGGACAATCCAACCCCTGCTTTTTTTGGTCTTCCACTGACCTGTTCAAGTGTATTTTTTTTGTACTTGCTTTGGTTGACTCTGCAAGATACGGATTTGTTTTCTGTAGGGACACTACTTTGGATGAGGAAATCCAGGGCCTTGCTTCAGTTTTACCTTCATCTGCAAATGATTTAGATTTACTGCACAGAGAAGACTGGTAAATGTCCAAGTTCAAGTTATTTTTTTCGGGATCATAAGGCTGTAAAAGCTCAGGATGTCTTTGAAAGTTCAACAAATTGGAGGACTTCAGTGGCCCATCTTTAAAATCCAATGTTCCATTTTCTTYTTCATCCATATTGGTTCTCTTTTGGCTTTTAAGCATACATGGTTGCATATGCTGTGTTCCAGAAAACTTCGTGTGTTCACCATTTTTGTCCTCCAGCTCATAGACAGAATTAGAGTCTGTGGTTGGTTTACTTACAGTCTGAGAAATGATCTGCTGTTCTTCTCCAGGTGGAGGAGGATTTTCTGGCAAACATCCTTCTGCATTGTTTAGTACTATGTAAGGATGCCCATSAATTCCTTGGACTCTAATACTGACACCGTAAGATCCTGTCTTCGAATTCTGGGCACTGCTGATTTTCTGAGTCTCTTCAGTGGCAAGTTCAAGAGTAACTTCATAGTCCTGCGACACTTGCTTAAAACCAGCAAAATAGGGCTCCATTATCTGAAAGTTATAGCTGCACCAAAAAAAAAAGTTTCAAATACTTCAGATTCTCTCATTGTTTGCTTCATACAACCATTCATTTCATACTTTGAACATTAAATAATATTCATTGAGGTGAATATGCAAGCTCAAAACAAACACATTRCAAAACAAAGACTAACAACTGACTGACAGAACGGGTTAATGGCATTTTATGAACGTAAATACTATGAAATAACAATAGTATAATTAGCTACATATAGCTTCTGCTAATTGCTTGGAAACAAAATTCAAATGATAGATGGTCCAATATTTTTGGAGTTAACCCATAACATCTTTTATTTAAGGTACCTTCACTGTATTTACTGGAAGAGCGTACTTTCAAAAACCAAAGCCCTTTTATGGCCAGCAGTTAATATCAGTTGTACTCACACCTGAATGTAAAAGCCTAGGAGACTAAAGCAAGCAGACAGTTTTAGGTTACCAGTTCAAGATAACTAAAGCACTGCAAGCACAGTTAATATCCTCATGCTTCTAACTCATGGTTTTTATCTGCTTTTTCAACTTTTGTTTTCAGAAACGGAGATGTGTCATTGTTTCCTATAACAGTCTCCTTATGTCCTGTAAAACCTTTTATGTCACTATCATATTTTATAGTGAAAATATTATTTGTTTCTAAGTACATCTGAAAACAAACTTTTTCATCTCTTACCTCATTGTCCTCCATAAGTATAAACTATGCTACAAATTAATTTAACAATCTGAGGGATTTTTCCAGGAAACTCCAGCTGTTGTTTTAAAAACCAGACACTTAGTTGACCAACAGAAAAATACTTTTAGTATTTCCAAAGCTGATAACATTTCTGTTTTTCCTGAAAAAAATGAACTCTGTGTTCCAAAATTGTTTCAAACTTAGAAAACAAAAAAGATTAAACTCTACTTGCATTTCAAATGCTAAAAAATTTCCCTCTCTAGGCACTATTTTTGTGGGTAGTTTTATTTCACCATCATCATGTTTTATGAGCAAACAGTCAACTGGTAATTACTGACAGCAGAGGTAATAGTAGGAGCTCTGTCTATAGAGACTAGACCAGAAGAGGGTGACAGCCTGGTATGAAACTTTGGCAAACTTCGGAACTAAGCTAAAGATTTGAGCTATCACTGCACCCTGACAACAAGAACACTAAAGAAGGGTGAATAACTGACATCCAAAGGGATACTGAAACATTAGTACCACTCTAAAAACAAACCTCTGTAAACCCTTTCTATTCTTACGTATCTCAGCGTGAAGTATCTCTCTCAGATACTCTAATCAGCAACAGAATAATCATTTTCTCACAATGAATTAAAAAATGTCACTTGATACTAGCAGCACGCTAGTCTAGAGCCGATTCTTTTTTTTAACATTCACATCCCCTGAAAAGCCCTCTCCTCTACTCAAGAAACAGCCCTAGGTATTCATCAGTTGCAAACTCCATCTGTAGGAATCTGCATGTAGTTCAAGACACAAGGCATCRATCGTTTTAATGATGGAAAACAGACGACACAAACACAAAGAACCACCCTAAAAACAGTCTCCATGACAAATTTTTCCTTAGATACATAAACATTTTGTAMACTAGTTATCACAGGACTTCACTTCCCTTAGTAAAAGGAAATAAAATAGACACCGTGAATCTGATCTCAGTTTATGACTTCCCGTGATAGGAAGAGAAACAGAACACAGAAAAAGGCACCATCGAGCCAAGGAAAGCCCATGGGCAGCGAAGGCCGAGGGGAGTGCAGAAACAAGAAGGGTCAAACTGTGAAAGGAAACACAAGTACCAACACAGTGCATTGTCCTGGGGCTCCATTCTATAGATTTCTCCATACTATTTGATCTTCTTTTCTGATTACTTACCCTGTCTCACAATAACTACAACCTTCCAACCTTAATGATTCTATGATCATAATGGTATTTTGGAAAATGCATTATGTTGACTGATAGTGCTATTAACATTAAACAGATCAAAATCAAGATGTGAAAGATAACTGGGATGCAGAAAATGTGCATTAGTCCTGCCACTCAAATTTTGGAGACTTCCACAGACTTCATACTTCATTAGATGACAAGGCACAGTAGATAACATTGCCAAAACTATATCTTATTAAAGAGTGTTTTTTTTTTTTTTAAACAATATGTGAAAATTGCAAATGTTGTGGAGTTTATCATGAAAATCTAATGATGTTTACTATTTAATTACAGTTAAATTCATATTTTATGCATACATTACACAGCCTGCAGCTCTGGTTTTGGCAGGCATGCAACAAGAGATTAAAATGAAAGGCCTGAAGCTCTTACTTTCCCATCTGCCTGGCCCATTCCTAGGATGGAGCCACCAACTCAAAAGTGGGGGGCAACTGAATCATTCATGAGTCAGTTTGCTGCCTGGCACGAAGGTTAAGGCAATCAGTCAACCCCGTTTCATGTACTACAAATGACTGAAATTCTGCCGTGTGACAAAGGGGAGGAGCTGGCAGCCGGGTCCATTGGCAGCTACCTCTGTCTGTCCTTAATCCTCTTTAAGTCTGCTGCAGCCCTCAAATGTTAGGAGAGCACAGTTTGTTTACTGTTAAGCTTATGAAAAGAGGTTAGATATTTTAACACTAGTTAAGAAGAGATTTTCCCTATTTGTTGGGCTGCTTATTGTCTCCTTATAGCTACTTATTAAATAAAGAGACTTTTTWAAAAAAATCTGATCTTCAGGAAATAGGCAGTAATTCTGCAAAAAACATTAAGACAAGTCTTCCTATTATTTTATGAAACCAATTTTTATTTCCTATTTGTGAAGTAAATGTTATTTCAACAKCTTGTAACAAATAAGCAGAACACTAGTACTTTAGGACTTTACACTAYTAACTACTACTTTAACAATTTTCTTTTGAATATATTCTGTTTGCTAAGAAGACAGAGAATATTTATACTCCAGGACATACAACTACCAATATTGTTTTGCGATGACAAGCTCAACTACAATTTAGAACAATGAAGATACATTGTCATCTTCCTCCTAGTAACCTTATCTGSTGCTCTCAGCAAGCCAAATTTTACCACGCAACAAAGTTGCACCTGAAAACTTGAGAACTGTCTGGAAAAGGAAACAGCTTGACTTTCTACAGTTATACAGTATTAACTTWAGCAGCTGGATTTACTAATCACCAAGCTTGGTAAATCCAGTCGTTATCTCAAGGAAGTTTAAAAGAACACTGACTTAAAGACCCAGAAACCCAGTCAGACACAAGTGAAGCAAATTTATACCACTATGCAACACACAGTCCTATAGGTATTGTTGGAGAGAACATTCCCTGGATACCTACACTTTTTTGAAATTTCAACAACAGCAAAAGAAGGTATTTTTCAATCAAATATCTCCCCGAAAAGTGTCAAGAGCTGAAAGAAACAGACTTCATAAATGAGCTCCCCATCAATTCAGCCTGAGATTGCAGGTCTCTATACACACACACGAGGCCCTTCCTCACTTTGAAACCTCATGAAAAATGTGGGCATTTCCTGCATGATCACACCCACTGCTTCATTAGGCTACTGGATCAACCTTCTTAAAAATACAGAATATGTTGGTTTGAATGATACTTTACTTCAACTTAGCATTTTTCCATTTGTCTTCAAACGGCACAGGCCACAACTTGCTGTCATTGAAAGCTGCAGTTCAGGCACAGAAAGCACAGTTAGCTGCACATTCCCCCCAACTCCTTCGGTGACAGTGACAGCCACTGTGCAGCCATACAGCAACCCAGAACATCTCTGCTGATCCAGCATGAGATCTGCAGTTTTCTAGCAGATCAGCAAGGGTACCAGGGGACACTAACATCATCTACTTTGGGAACAAAATGGACTCAGACCATCCTGCAGCCAAYCACAAAATCACAAACTGAATTTGTGTTTTAGTCCCATTTTTGGGGACAGAGACCATTACAAAATTCTACAAATAAAAAGACTGGCACAGAAAGCTGTTCAGGCACTTTGATTTTAGTATTTATTTTCAAAATAGCCTTCATAAAGGGCTTTAAGCACTCATTAGAAGAAAATATATATTGACTTCCACTGCATATAGAAGTTTCACATTTTATTACTATTACTGTTTATCAAAAATTGCTTCATAGCAATTTTTTTTTAATATAAAAAGAATTTTTTAGGAGTTACGTTATGTCCGAAAATCTAATACATCCAACATTGTAAGGCATGTTATTTTCTTAACTGCTCTTTCTACAAGGGTGATTTGATACTTCACAAACTACCATCATGGGAGCAGAACATTGAAGGCTTAACAGGTCAAAAACATTTTTAAATGCCTGAAAACCATGTCCTTTCACAGCTGCTATCACCTATTTAAAAGCTAGCTATGAGTAGTTACTTGATATCCTGCCATACAAGAAAGAAAACCCCTGTAGCCTGGAAACCCTACTGCTCTTCCTGCCAGCAAAGCAGAAAAGAGCACTTTGAGAAACATATTCCTGTTCCAGAGATGTCCCTTCTCCCTGGCAGCTCTGCGGCACTCCTAACACCACAGGATCAGAGAGGCAGGGAACTGCAGCCACTCATCAGCAGTCTCTCTTCCTTAGCCAGATCTACAAACCAGATGTATCCAAAAATGTCACTTTCCAAATTCCAGGCTTAGCACATGCTATTCGCTCACGTGTGCCCTGCCTCATGCATACTCAACATCAAGCCTCTAAGGCAGCAGCAGCCAAGCACSCCACACACCTGCTTCCAGCACGTGGGATAATTTTTCCTAGGATTGGTTAGCCAGGGCTCCTATGATAACGCATCAGCAAAAGGCTTGGCCAACATTTGGAGGCACCAACTGATATATTCCCTGGCCTCCTCCCCGAGTTAGATGTCCTCATAGGTGTTGACCCACACATACGTGAATGTTTCTTAGCATATACCTAGTAGGTGCAACAGTTGTCTCTCACACACAGAAATATGGAAAAACATAAAGAATCTTGCTATTTCACTTTTTCCATTGCACTAGT